CCCCGGGCCACCCGCAGTGCCACTGCTAACCTTTCCTTTGCTTTCCTCCATGTCACACTCTCATGCCTCTGTTACCTATTTACTATAGCGTGGATGACCCTTCTTTGTTTTTCTTCTTTATTTGGCTTCTTTCCCCATCAGCTTCCTTATTTTCCCAGGTTAAATAGGCACAGCCTGTGTCGCTCCAGTATAGTATCTGTCAATGGAGGGAGAACACTTAATATCTTAGTAGGTCATTCAGCTTCTTGGGTAGGCACCAGTGTGCTATCATCTTCCACTTCTGGAACATGTTCTTGAATCATTATTTATATATAACTTACCCACCCTGTAAAAACATGTAGAGCTTGCAACTCTGACACACGGGAGTCCTTAGGCCTGCTCAGTTCTGAGTGCCATGCACATGATTTGGGGCTAGGCAGGGAATTAATGGGCAGTGACACGTTTTTCTCTCACAAAGCTATAGCAGGCAAGAAAAAAAATTGAGTAGTATGGGAGATTTCTTGTACAAGAGATATGATTAGGTGAGTTCCTCTTCTAGAACCTATGAGCAGTCATGAGATTGCTCTCAGACCTAAATGGTTACAGCTGGGGCTGAGCAGTGGACTGTGCTCCAGCAGAGTGTGGTAACTTGTATTTGATGCTGAAACCCCGTGTTACGTAACGTCCCCCTTAGCACAGGGAGTGCCTGGGCTCCCTGCAATATCAGGAGTTACAAGCAAGTCTGCGGACGTGGGTGCAAGTAGATTGGGATGGGAGCATGGGAGTGTTGGGTGTGTAGAAGCCCTCGTGGTACGTGTGATCTTGCTGTTGTTGCAGGGCCTTTCTGCTGAAAGCTGGCGTGGGTAAATACATTTTCATGGCTCAGCAAGTCTCCACATGTCATTTTTCAAATGTTTTTCCCATTGGATAATGTCTTTGTAGGTTATAGCACTACAGTGATGGGCTGGCAAAATAAGGCCTGTTGGGAAGAGTTCTGGTTCGGTCAAAGCTGAAGAGCAGGATTTGGAGCTTTTATCTCGGTTCAGGTCATTTTTGTCAAAGAACTCAGCACAGGGTCTCTGTTAGGGCAGCTGATGGTCTCTCGGTCCTAGCTGACAAGTGTTTGGATAATAGAGAGAGTATTAAACTGTCTTTTGTTCTTAAAACCAGTGTTAGTAGTAAATAATGGTGACTGAGAGCCCATGATGTTCTTTTACAGGTTGATCGGGCTGTTTATTACAGATTCATTCAGGGAAATGGGAAGATGCATCTGCCTACCCTGTTCCAACAGGGGTCCCGTAGCAGCCCTGAGCGTTAGAGCAGTTCAGGCCTGAGCTGGGTCTTAGGCTGGTGCCTCATGGCCAGATGCAAACAAAGGGTGAGAGGGAGCCGCGAGGGTGGGAGTGCTGTAAGGATTGCTTTAGCGCAGGCTGGGCACTCAAACACAGCTGTCCTCAGGGTATCTTCATGGTAAATTGTGTGTTTCTCCTTGGCTTGGCTGATTTCCAGACATTTGTATGGAACTTCCCACCATAATCATATGCAATAATGAGTCCTTGCAGGGCATTTCATATGTCAGGCCCCGATCCAGCAAAGCTGTAAAGGTTTACCTGCTTTATTGGGTGCTGGCTGGATGCCTCTGTGATCTTTGCATCAGGAGCCTTTTCCAGTGTAAGCTGACAGTGATATTGGAGTTTTGTTGTCGGACATTTACAGCAGAAAAACAAAAGTGGAGCAGCTTGCGAGCCAGCATGACTGGATAGGGGCAGTAACTCAAGCTGTTAGGATTCACGGTTATTGCTGGTGGAGAATATTAAGGTAATGCACTGACAGGGTGTGCAGGGCTTGTGGTAGTTGGTGTTTCTGTGTGTTTTGTTGGAATGGAAACATTCTGACTTTCATTTGGTACTTTTCTTATGGCTTTGGATAAGCCCTTTGCAGCTGCTAACTCCCACATTGCTGCTCCTTCCTTGAAACAGCTAGAAGCCAGCAGGCCAGGTGATTGCCAGGAGGTGTTGAGCTTTAGATCTGTATTAAACAAAACTCCTGATTTTCTCAAAGAAACTTTCTAATATTAGGAAGTCTACTAGGTCTGAGAGCTTATGCTGCTAAAAATGACTATAAAACCAACCTACTTTGCAGAAATGTATATAATTGTGGGCTTGTTGTTGATAGTTAATGATTGTGTGTACATTTCTACATGGACTGAAAGGAGCAAGCTTGAGCAGCACTGAGAATCGCTGCTTTTATTGTTGATTTGATCATGTAAATCACAGAATCTGCCAGAGTGATTCAGAAAAATAACAGAAGTATTAACAGAATATCCATCTGCATGGAGGAAGCTGGGGATAAATACAAATTTAGCATCTTCCCAAACTAGAAGCAGTTCAGTGCTGTAACGTGTGCTGTAGCTGGGAAACAAAGGATGTCCTTTAGTCTTGGGCTTAAAAAGGCATTTTGCTGATCAGTTTTATTTTGGCCCATGCTATGCTGTGAGCGCTGCTGGCGGTGAGAATGGAGGATGCTCCCTGGTGCGCACGAAGGTCTCCCGAGCGGCTCTGCGTGGAGCTGCTGCACTCGCTGCTGCCCCTTCTGCGCCGTGCCGTCACCGGCTGTGGCACGGAGCCTCGGCACGGCCGCGGGCTGTTGCAAAGCTGAAGATCCCCCAACTCCCGGCTGCGCGGGGCTCCCTTTTTACGGGGGGCTGCCTCCGGGACAGGCCAGCGGCCCAGTGGCAGGGGCAGCAGCGGACGGGAATGTCTCGACAAGGGTTTCGCAGGCTGCTCGGTTTCTGCCACATGCACGGCGGGGAAAGAGGGGAAGTTTCCACACGGTTTTGATTTAAACAGCTAGCTGGTCAGGAGTAACACATAGCACCAACAATTAGCTCTGTTAGTGATTTGTAGAAGGGAAGTCATGGCATAGCGTTGTAAAGATCAGGGTTTAGACAGTTCCTTCTTCGACATTCATTGCTGCAGCCTGCAAAGAAAAGGCTTGCGTAAGCTCTTGCAGGTCATTTCAAAGAGATGATACAGAGAGTTGAGATTAGCTGCTCTTGGCTCTCTGGCACTCCCCAGAATTTGATGTTTTGGGATTATTAGCAGGGGGTTCCTGGTAGGTGGCCCTTGACTTCAGAATACGTCTCTGTGGTTGGTCTTGCAAAGTCTGATTTTGTTGACCTTGCGGATCACATTAAGAGGCCTAGACTTTGAAGGGGGAGAGGGAGTTAAGTTCTTATATGAGGAAACTTCAGAGCATTTTATGAGCTGATGTTTTGATAGTTTTACCGTGTTTTAATCTGAATTATCTTTGGAAGTGTAGGAGCTGGCGCCACAGAAGCTGCATGTGATAGATGCATGTGAGCATGCCCAGCTTGCTGCGGCTTCTCGGGCCTGCAGCCAACCTGGGGAGCACTGCTCAGCTAGGGCCCTGGCCCTGCTAGCAAGCTATCAGGCTAGCCCTATAATAAAAGAAAGGTAGGATTTTGGTATTCGGTATGTGGTGACTGCATTTTAACCCATATTCACGCACCTACAGCTGAGTACAGCTGTAGTGGGGAAAAGTTCCACATGGCCTTTTGGCATCTGAGCTAACGTCCGTTCAAGTCAAGAAAAAGATTCATTCTGTTGAGGTCAGTGGGGTTTGGATCCAGCATTATTTCTTGCAGTGATTAAATCATCTTGGTTGTTAGATGGTGTGTAATTTACTGAAGAAAACACACACACTGTAATTTAGTGCAGCTGGCACAGCCCCCATCTCCTAGCATCACCCTTCACCTCCTGCACTAGGTAACTGCGGACGCAGGGGTAGAGTGAGGGAAGGCAAGAGCCCCAGCTGTTGAACATTCCCCCTAGTGGAAAGAGTTCACATGTGAGGGTTTCTTTGTTTTCTTTCTTCTGGACAGCTGTGACCTGGTGGTTAGAATACGCATGGCGTGGGGCTGGAGCTCCCAAACTCTGGGCTGGCTGTGCTGCCTCTGTGGTGCACCCTCCGTGTGGCACCTTGCTGAGAGCATCACACGTGCCCAAGGGAGAGACGGTGCAGAGAGGAATGGCAAGCTGCCACTTTTACCTCTTTGTGCCACTAGCCTGTCCTCCTCCAACCCTGCCCTGTGAGCGTTGGAGAGAGGGGCAAATCTATATTCAGCATCGAGTGTGTTGAAGATTACAAAAGCACATGGCGTTCAGAGAGGTCCGCAAAGACAGGGATTGAACCAGCCTCATCACACGTGTATTTTTGAGGCTGGACGCTGCTCACATAGGCCAGAGGAGCAATGCTATAGGGGTGTGCTGTTTTCACACCTGTTTTTGTCAGGGAATCCGTGGGGTTATTCACAATTGTTAACCGCTTGCCTCCATTCCAGATGGGATACACGCCTCTGCACGTTGGCTGCCACTACGGAAACATAAAGATCGTTAACTTCCTTCTGCAACACTCTGCAAAAGTCAATGCCAAAACGAAGGTGAGTTTTGTGCCTCCGCCTGCCCCGGACGGGC